AGTAAAGGTTATTTAGATGCTGTTGACGACGAATATATCGTCGCTGATGGACGGTGCTCGTTGGGGAGCCTCCGAACATCCAGCGATTCCGCTCGCATCTATGCCCTCACTTCCAGATCATCAAACTACTCGGACGTTTGCGAGAAAAAAAAATTCATGGAATAAAATGAAGATTTTCATTTAAGCGAGGTTACGAAGTAATGAGGCGGAAGACATCGGCGACCTTGCTGCCTGAGCCTGGTTAGGGGGCTGTTGCTGAAAGGTCCTTCTCCCTCAGCTCCCAAAGCCATACTGACGAATTTCCGCGTGAAATGTATCCGAGCAGGCGAAAAGAAAAAAAAAACACCTATCAGGAATGCACAAACAAGGTCTCGGTACGACACCCGGACAGTACGTGGAGATATCCCTGGTTCGTTGCCTCAAAACGAGACGAGGCCAACTCCCCGATTATGATCGCCAGGGTTCAGAGGACCCCAATACTCGCACTTGGCGAGTGGGTGCCCCCGGACACCGTGCACCGGAGGCATCTTTGAGTCAAGCTCGTGGGCCTGCAGCATGTCCGTAGGCACCTGTACTCTTTGCAGCGACATAGTTTTCGTTTTTCAGCGTCCGACTTCCTATAAAATGGGTCTTATTGAACGAAAATAAATTTGGTTTACCCGCACAACCTTACATAGCTTCCCTGTTCATATTATAAGAAATAAAGTGCGTTATGTATGTTCACACAGTGGGAACTTAGTCAGCTCGAGTGGCCGTCTGGAGTCTCCGCTATAGATGAGAGACTTAGCAAGCTATGTCTGGTGTCTTCAACGTGCATCACGCAGTAGCAATATACGACCGCACGTCGGTACGACGCTCATCCAGGTCAAAACGCACAATGGTGGGGATTAAACTGGTATTTCCGGGTTTCACATTACTGCCGTACTACGGGCCAAAACATGTATAGCCCTCAGGAACAGCAGAAGATGGCGGCGCCCTGAGACCGGACTTGCAAACGTGTATAGTGCCTGGTTATTCGAAAGAACTGTTCAAGCTGTGTTATTGAACCTAAGCACCGGAAATTTACACGTGCCAAATGTGCAGTTTTTTTTTGTTTGTTTTTTTGACACATGGTCGGTGACAGGGTAAAAATTCCGTAGTCTCCAGCGCAATTTTTGTTATAGTGCTTAAATTTGTTGCACGCGCAGCACAAAGTTCTGCAGAAACAAACGAGCGCGTGCTGGAGGCGAAGCTTCTACTAAATTCTCAGTTTGTCACCGATTATAATAATTAAGCCAAAGTCACACTGGTTATACATCATACAAAAGACAGTTTGCAAAGAGATTAGAACGCGAGTCACCGCGAGGCCCGTGCTTCGAATGCCGCATGGCAATGGGTCAAAAGAGAAACTTGGGCACGCGGTGTTTTAACCACAGATATTGCGGTGACTGGTGTTTGCAGACTTTATTTGGTTTCAAGTATGAGCAGTGTGACCCCGGCTTTAGGTGCTAAACTCTCTGACTCCTTACATTACTTGCAGCACGTATCTCCCAAACAAGGTATCTCGTTACATGACTTACTTACGCCATGCCTTGGTCTTCAAAAGTTGACCAGCAGTATCTTCAAAATTAAATATGAATTAATAAATAACTGATAAATTTGATGGTCACCGAAAGCTTAAGGAATGCTGGGCGTGGGGCGTCCTCGCGCATCATATAATTGCGACAAGATTATTGTGGGATTAGCCGATAAGAAAGCGGGAGAACCAATCAAGAACTGAGAAGCTTCAGGCATCATATATGATGCTCACGCTTCTCGCTTGCACAACCTATAGACCTCGCCTCTTAAGCGTATTTCACATGCAGCGGTTTTCGCCCTAGAGCGGCGCGATTTCTGCCGTCGCGGCGCTCTGGCCAGCACCAGCGTTTGAGCGGCACCAGCGCCACGACGGCAGAAATCGCGCCACTCTAGGGCCAAAACCGCTGCATGTGAAACACGCTTTACACGTGGGAGGAGCAACCGCTCAAGCTGAATAGATGGATGGATGCATATACGGCTCGATCTTTCTACATCGGGTGGCGGTTACAGGTTAAGAGTTCGGGGCGAGGGAAAAGAAGGCTGCGAAGGGGGAAGCAGGCGGACTGCTGGAGCGAGGGGGATGTTTCCTCCAGGTACTCATCTCGTCTCCAGCAATCCATCTGCTTTCTCCTCCTCAGCCTTCCTTTTCCTCGCCCCGGACTGTTAACCTGTCGCCGACTATAGCTATTATTTTTATTATCGGCGCTTCGCGTAAACCCAGTAAGTACAGATACATTTAGGAATTGCTACTCTCCCTTGACTGGAAGACCACATCTCTCTGTCTCCCCCTTTCTTTTCACCACAAAATGAACACCAAAAACCTTAATTGAGAGCACCGGCGGAGCCTTTTCTGGCATGGTGAACCAATGGCTGGAAGGCTTCAGTACAGGCAAAATAAACTCACTGTCTAAACACCCAACACCTCATTTTCTTCTCTTCGGCAGATGCCAAAAGCTACCGCGCACTTCTGTAAATTTGGCAGGGCAGAGGTATGGTCGGCTAGAAGGAGCTAGGAGGGTGGGCTGGCAGGTTACTTATAACCTAATTTCCAAATTATTAACTGTTTTTGCCGTTCTGGCAATGCTGCCAGCTTATCCAGCCAACGCGGTCGCGCTTGCTGCTACTCATCCATAGCTGAGGGATCGGTGGCCGAGTGGTCTAGCGCACACCAGCTTGGAGCACGTGGAGCCAAAGCTCGCGCTGCAGAACCCATAAATCCTGGGCTCAATTTCCAGCACTGCCTGTTTCGATCTGGATGAGAATATACCAACGTACGGTCGTGTATCACTACTGCGTGGTGCACGTTAGAGACCCCCGGCTAGCGGTTTGTACTGCACTGGCTAAATGTCTTATCTACAGCTGAGAGACAAGTCACCCGTTGAAACAGACTGAGCTCAGGCTGTATAAACATACCCAAAGCTCGCGCTGCAGAACCCAGGGATCCTGGGTTCGAGCCCCACTTCTGCCTGTTTCGATTTGGATGAGCATCGTACCGGCGTGCGGTCGTGTATCACTACTGCGTGATGCACGTTAAAGACCCAACGCTAGTGGTTGTGCCGCACTGGCTAAATTGCTCATCTACAGCTGGGAGACTCGTCGCCCGTTGAGGCAGACCAAGTTCTAGGCAGTATAAACATACACACAACCCAATTATTATTAAACATACCCACACGCCAATTTAAAAAAAAATCCACAGTTTGAATCAGGTTAGTCTTCATGGCTCTCTTTTCTTCAATTTCTCCCTTAAGACACGCGCGCGCTTAGATGAGCTTGGACGTTCGGCGAAACCGTAGTGACGGCATCCAGGGAAAACGAAGATGTCCCTCGTTGAATTTGAGGATACTCACCCCGTTGGTTCGATGTAGATAGTCTCTGGGAAGGGAGGAGGCCGGAAGTCTCATGACCAGTACAAGCAAACAAAACTTTGTCGGGAACAGGCCAATACGTATCGGACGTATCGTCTACAGGCGTAAAAGTTGATCCCCCCCCCCCCCCCCCCTTCAATACCTTCACCCAGAAATTTGGCGTCCGTTACTCATGTTGTCATCTTTCTGCACGTAGTCTGAACGAAATTGTTACGCGTATTGCGCTTTCGTTTGCGTGGGTTAGGAAATATGGCCACGTTGCGTCCGTGTGAACATTACCGGTGGCACAGTGGTGATGGGAACACGGGGGGCATGAATTGTGGTACCGCTCTCGGCTGCTGGGAAAACAAAGCAATTGCTTTCGTTCCCCAAAGATACTGTCTTTTCGCGGCTTCGTAGACTTTGATAGACCCTTTCCGAAATTCAATCTGGCCAATTTGATAACTATCATCATCTGAGGAATGGCAAATGTGTCATACTAATGGCGGTCTTGTGGTTCCTGATTATGCAAGACGTTAAAGAAGGTGATTTAACGCGGATGATGCGAGGCCTATACATTCCAGACGATAGTACGATGCGTAGCAGGCATTGAATACAAGAGCTGCGTAAGCGTTCATTTCGAACTCGGGTCGAGTCAGTCTGTAGACGGATCATAATCGGCTCTAAATGTGGGATTGTGCTTCGTTCTTACCGCTTGTATATGTGTCACAACCGAAACTGAGAAATCCAGAAAGAATTGTAAGGTAAAGCGCACATTCTCGTATGGTGTTGACTAGCGAAAGTGATGGTGCCCGGAAAAATACTGCAGACTGCAGATCGATCACCGCCATTAGTACGGTCAAAGGTAAAGTGCTATTGGAGCCAGCAGATGGCACTGAATGTATAGACGCTTTGCAGCAGCTGTGCATGGGCGCCGCCATAACTGACCTTCAGTTTTTGTTTCCCCGTATTACGTTTACTTCACTTCATTATTATCACAGCAGGCTTGGTCATTGCCATCCTAGATTTTATTCTGTCTTTCTCCCCAGCATTGGCCTTTGTGGCGGCTCGTCCACACAAATTTCAGTGGCTCGGTATCTCGGTAAAACTAAACTTTAGGTAAAACAAGAGAAGGTCAGCAATGGCGGCTGTATTCTGGCGCGTGTGTAAAGCGTCTTTCGATTAAGTACGGTTCATTTATCTGCATATTTTCGAAATATAGACCATAAATATAAAACAGTCTATTGTTTAGCTTAGCGCACATGCTTATCTTGAGCATTCTGCCTTTCTTATAGCTTGATTATTTGAATAGGGGTAAAGGAGGTCCTCCAACATAAAGTTAAGGCATTACAGCACGATAATGTTTGTTTTCCAGTGAGCCTCTTGGGAAAAAGAAAAAAAAAAGCTATGTACTAAAAAACGTGCATGGCACGCTGTGCTTGTCACGCGATTGCCCATAATAACGCGCTCGTGTTCCTCGAGGTTCGGAACATTCGGAGCCGTTGATCTGTTCCCTTTGTCTCACCGCGAACCTGTAACGCGTTGTTCTTTCTTAATCTGTCTGAAATGGCGCCAGGGAGACCCCAGTCAGCGCCAAGCATGTCGGCAAAACAACAAGGCGATCAGGAGACGTCTCAGAAGGTAAGGATATAGATAGTCATAGCTCTCCCCAAACGTAGGTAATAAGATATCGGCATCTGCGTGAAACATCGCGCACCTGAAAAAAGGTTGCAACAGTCATCGTCGGAGTTTATGCAATTATTAAATCAAGCAGGTAAGCAATTAAAATGAAATGTTGGTTGGTTTTACGAGCTATCCCATCGAAAGTCATCTAGATCCCCCCAACAAATGATCGAGGCTGAATTTCTACAGCTTGGGTGCCATTACCCTAAAACGGAAATGTCAGTTACGCAGCAACTAAGCAATAAAGCCTTTTCCACTTTTTGGGCTCGTCGGTCGGCACGTGAAACCGCTCACTTGGAATTCATACGCCAAGCCTTCTGCTTCGTTGCCATATTTTTAGATATTCTGATAGCACCTAAGTTGGTCACTTTATTAACAAGGATGCCTCCTGAAGTTTGATGATCTTTGAGCTCTAGTCATAGGCACCATGAAAAAACAAGAAAACACATCATTCTTACTAAAAATAACCCCAAATCAAAAAAGAACAAACGCGCAAAATGAATGTTCGAGTTGGAGAGGTTTTCTTGATTGCAAGGGACTTCATTTAGCGGTGCTGATTGTTACTACTGCTTAGTCTGTGCTTCAAGTAATCGCTCATTTTTAAGGAAGAAATATAACTCAGTAGAAATAACATCTTCAGCAGACAAAAGTAACAAAAAATGGTAGTCAAATCGGCGTCAATCTAAACCGTTCATGAGGTTTAAACTGCAGACGACAAGCTGAGAGCAACCGTTATTCCAGTTTTCGATATAAATGGAGTGTCTCTTCAGTGACGCCACAAATGATCCGCATGGTATAGTATACCGGCTGTTAGTGGCACAAAACAAGTTTGGAAGCGGGAGACAAATCAAAGGAAACCATGCATATTGGGTTTAGCGTACAGACATAATGGAAAGAAGCAGGGAAAGTTCCTCCTTTCCACATCACGCTTTTTGCGCAGCGGGAGAACGGCGGCCTCCTCAGCCTACAATGCGATTTTAACATTCGCAACGCTTGCCTTTTTACCTGTTTTAAGGTTAGTGTGTTTGGTGTGTGGTTTGCTAGGTTGAAGAGTTTTTTTAAGTGTTTATGAAACTGGTGTTTTTTTGTATTATTATTGTTTGCATTGCAAGACGAGGTGCCACTACCACAGCCCGCCAGCATCGCGGTGGTAGGGGCTCCGATGCAAGCATTCCTAAGCTAGTTGTCGCTGGGGGAGGTAATCTTCAAAGCACCTCGCTAATTCCTAAAACAAGGGTCCTCTTTTATAAAAAGATATAATTTAAAAACAAGCTTATAAGGATAATCAGCTAATTCAGACGCAGGGGCCTTTCTTAAACTGAAGCTGAAGCGGTTTTGAATTTGATTAAAACACTTGATCTGTTTTAATCCCACTCGAAGCAGCAGGAACATCTCAAAAAGTAAACTATTTCATGCCCGCATTACCTAGAAAGACGCCTTTGAGGATGCATTAAAACCGCGCCCCTCCGCAATAGCGGGAAAAGAGAGTAAAGGGAGAGGGGAAAACATGACGTGACGAAAGGTTCCTTGCGCGTGCTCCTCGACTCGCAGAGCCAGCGTCGCGTGCATCGTCGATACTAAACTAGTTGGTGATTCATAGAGTGCCTTCATACACACGCGCTTTTGCTTGAGTGGTGACATCTCAGCCATTTTTCCGCTCAATTGTTTTTCATGCCTTTTGAAGTGCGCGCAATCCGGTGTCACTCAGCTCGAGCGCGTAGCTTTGGCTAATGCATAGACGCCATTTTACCGCCCAAGTCATGCACCGAGTGCGCGAGAGCGTCACGCGCTGGCACATTCAGTGCAACAATGGATGTCTTCACCCTGAGACAGACAGACATGCAGGCACCCTAGTGATTCATGCTTCTGAAAGATGCCATATGAATCTATAGGAAGATACACGAAGAGAAAGAGAGAGAGAAAAGACAAGCACACTGCTGGACAATAGCAACAATAGCAGCAACACCCGTTACAGTTCCATATCTCGGAAAAAATGGTTGTGGTAGATGATGTTTATCTTCAGTAAATGGTTGCTAGTCCAGCAGTTCCGAGCATATTTCTACAGAAGATGCAGGCACCTCAGTGAATCCGATGAGCTTACGCGAAGCGTGGACGAAACGAGGTAAGGTTTTCCAGTTGATAGTTGAGCGACAGAGGCAATTAGGATCGCGTCTGCTCATTTTATGACATCATGGCTCGACCAAGCAATGAAGCTTGGCGGCGGCGAGCAACTGCATAGTTTTTTCAACCTTTAGTGTTGTTGTGAGAGCAAATAATGGTAATATTTAGATTCTCAACAAAAAAAAAAAAAAATCACGCCAAAAAGATGCATTACCTCATTGTTTTAAACCGTTTCAGCTTCCCTTTAATGTCTCTGAAGTATACTACAATAATTAGTTAGCAAAAGCAATAGCGGGTATTCACTGGACGTCATATTGGAGGGCGCTGTTTAGAGTGCATGCTCAGAAAAAGCTGACATTAATAGGTTTCCATGACCGGCAATCTTTATGAGATAGAGTGGACGTTGCAAAATAACTGTCGCTACTGGCTGTGTGCGCTCAGAAGTCGCGCACACAGCTAGTAGAAGTTTTAAGTGCACCTTTTCTAGAACCTTCCATAGGCCACAGCGTACATTACTTTTCCACTTACTAGCTGCATCCTACATTCATAGTCTCCATGTCTGCTTCAATCTTTCCAGAACATTTACGTGAACATGGCCACACTCAGGATCCCTCCGAAAACTGCATCTTACAGCATGTACATTTTGATCGCGGTACTGGCGGTCGTCATTTCCGGCGCTCTGCTTGTCGCGTTATTTGGTGGCACACCTACCCCCAAGATCAAAGCACCTATGGACATAAACAAGGCCAGGGAGCTCCTGTACAGCAGGATAAAGCGATCCATGAACCCGGGTGCAGACCCTTGCGTGGACTTCTACGACTATGTCTGCGGAAATTTCGAGAGTGCTTATCCGGGCGCTACAGACATCATTGACGCCATGAAAAAGGAGTTGTTCCTTGGCTGGGCCGACGAAATTACACCTGACCAGTCGCAGCAGAGCATCGTGGACAAGATCGTTATGGCCCTACAAATCTGCCAGGAAGGGGGCGCAAAAGACCAAAATCACTGGTCGGACCTCACGAGTTACATCGCTCAGTTTGGACTAGGGGTCGACGTCCAGGGGACCCACAGTCATTCTCTGTTGGACGTCTTGGTACAGATGGCCCTTATGCACCATCTGCCTGTTACCATGATCGTTCAGCCAAAACTTAACTTGAAGGATACCAGGCGGCTGATCCTGCATGTCTCCTACGGAGGGCCCATTATTGCGAGTTGGCTTCAAGTAAGTGATTCACTTTTTATTTCTAGTTCCTGGTAAAATTCCGTAACGCCTGACACTGCATCTGAGCTTTGAAGCGAGCAAGCTTAAAGCCGCGCTCGCGTTGTTAACACATCATACGTAATACAGTCTGCAGACACTGTCTGAGGTCTTCTTTGTATGACGGTCCTGTGACATTAGTAATACAAAAAAGTTCTGGAGACATGTTCGATGAAGCAAACAGACTTCGAACAGGCTTAATCCGTGTTCGCAGATAAGTCTGTCACAATTTCTACGGCGAAAAGACTATTGCAAGCAGGGCGACTGGACGACGCCATGTGTCTGCTCGTGCGGGCACTCCCATGCGATTGCAAGCTCGTCAAAGCATAGCCCCCTGTATTCTGACAAAGCCTGGCAGACCGCCACGAGATGCGGCCGCCGAAATGGAAAAGGTGGTTGTAAGGTTTAAAAGCGCAAACAGACAGGGATGATAGGAAATAACACGAACGACAGGGACAAAAGATGGTGCGGCAGACAACGGATGAGAGGAGAGCCAGGTGACTGGCGCCCCGCTGCGGCGAGACGCCGAAACGCAGCGCCTCGTCGCTGCCGCGAGCCTCTGCGGCGAGACGCGCGGACCCGAAAGTGTGTTTCGGGTCCTGACCGCTGCAAAAGCTGTACGCTGACGTCCTGGTTTCTCAAGAAATGGCTTCTTGGTGCTCTGTGCTACTAGATCCTCGCGTTCCAAATCTGCGGCCGGGCACTCTATGGCTCCGTCGTCAAACTGCCAGGCTTTGTGAGTATGGAGGAGGCTATGGTCAAAGCTATTGTCCACGCTCACGGTGCACGTACATGAACCCACGGGGCACCAGAGCTACGCTCACGCCGGACCAGTCAACCTTCATCATCTGACCCTGCTCTTCACGCGAGAATGTGGGCGAGAGCGTGATCACGTGGCGAAGGATCAACGTATGACTGGTCCAACGCACTCGTCGATTCCACCGCAGTATCAGCTTAGGGGTTATCGGAGGACAGTGTGATGCACGAACAGAGTGACTGCAGCTTTAGTGAAGAACTACCTCTATTGTCATTTAAAAGGTAGTGCCATTAGTGTCACGTGATTCAGTAGACTTTACCCACCGCCTGTGTCATCAGTGTAGTGACTTCATCTAGCAGCTTCTCGCGAGCACAAGAGTGCACAGCAGCGTTTCACGATAAAGACTGTTTTACATGAAACGACTGTGTGAAGACAATCGGTGATATTTTCAATTTCGTGCGGTAAAAATCCTCTGCACACGAGGCACATAAGCAACCGTCCACGGAGATTTGTTTTTATTTGCCACACAAGCAACATTGGCAGTGCTACTGCGATTTTAATCACAAAACGACGGATATCAGATTACTGACAAAGAAAAAAAAAAGAAGAAAACATCGTATTGTGTTAAACGGCCTTCACTCGTCACTCACATTGAAGTTGATGCTACTCACCACAGAGTAGGAATTTGTTTGTTTTGCTTAGAGTTACATTTGGAGTACCGGCACTCCTTTCCCCGATTATTTTGTGGGCATCGCCAAACAGGCAATTCGGCCTGTTTTGGGACCTACAAATGAGGGACATCCCAAAATAGACAAACAATCGCTGCTGTGCTTTATTATTCCCTGTAAGTCATCTTCCTTAACTTCCATTGTCTAGATTTATTTATTACTAGCTAAAAGTCATGTTCTCTTCTCACGAACATTCCTTAAGCCATGCACAACTCTTTTTGTTCACGATCCGCCCACTGAAAAGCACGGCGAGAAAGCCGAAGCAAGACATCACTTAAAATAATCAACTCATGTCCGCAATAAGTCATCACAGTAAGATCGAGCGAAGACGCTGATTGGAGACGAGCGCTGTGTCAGCGTTCGCCGATGACTCGAATCTAGTCACGCGCTTCCTATCGAAGCAATCGGGACCGCCCATGTTTCTTGATGAACTTTAGAAAAGGGTGTATTTCTGATTTTGCATCATCCGACTCTGATTACGTTTCATGGAGGAAGATGAGGTTGATCGCAGGTCTTGATTATTCTAGGTGGTGTTGGCCAAGACCGGCATTTTTGATGGTGTGAAATACGCACTCCAAAGACACCGTGGAAGCCCCCGCCTTCAGTTCACGCTCAGCTGCCCCGGACTCAGCTATGGCTAACAGTAAATACCCCTTAAAAAAAAAAAAAAAAATATATATATATATATATATATATATATATATATATATATATATATATACATATATATATATATATATATATATACAGGGTGTCACAAAAGAAAAATTTACACGGTCTTTTTTACCGCAAGAATAAGCTAGGCATCGGCGAACGCTCATTCTCCACCCGAAGGTAGCGTCAAACCAGATGTCAAAGTTTCAGCCCGATCCGATAACTCAATGAAAAGTTATAAGGGATTTTCTTAAATTTTCAATGGGAAAATGGAGCCCATTTGAGCCCGTTTTCGGTTTCTGGTGCCATAGAGCCCCATGTGTTCGAAAACTCCGTCGGCCACCATTTTCCCATTGAGATTCTTTTAGAAAATCGACTTCAAACTTGCAACTCTTTCTTTAGAAAAACTTGCAAGTTTGAAGTCAATTAAAAAAAAAAAAAGCTTTTATTTTTTTATTTTTTGTTTACAGTTAGGTAATATGGGCTCTGCTAGGACCTACCAGCAGAAATTGTAATATATTGTTTGTATGGCGGCTATTAGGACTCGAAACTCGTGCTGTAAGAATTTTGAACGGGATTTCGCATAGACGCTAAGCTGAGCAGAATTTTGACCTATGTAAGGTTTTCTATTTAATATTAGTACTTACCTCAATATCTGAGCGTAAAAGCCAGAGAAGCAACAATATTTATCCCAAGAATATTTATTTACTTGGCACTGGCGTGATTTGCAAGGTGTGTGAGCTTCGCCTTATGTATTGACGGAGTCGGAGAAGATACGTATACCATCTAGACTCCCGGACAAACTTAAGTCAAGAGAAAAAAGTCTTAAAAAGGGGCCCTGCAATCATGTTTAAGCGTCTACCTTTTTTGCGGTTTCCACGTCTCTTGGGGTTCGGGCAATCCAGCGGGAACGGAGAGAGCAACTAAATATCCGTGCGTCATATTATAATCGGACGACGCGGAAACCCCCTCCACCGACGGGGGCGACCCGCGGTACCGAAAGCGCGCGAAATGTGACGTCTTTGGTCCTGGGCTTACTACTGGTCAGAGCCGCTTAAAGCTTCTTTTTAGTTGAAATATAAAACATAAGTGGCGCGAACCGTTTAAATTATTTATAAAAGAGGTTTTTGTTCAGTATTTTACATCAGAAAAGAAACAAATGCAATTTATAAAGTACGGAAACAAGAAATGACCCGTCGACATACCCGCCACCAAGCGGTGGAAAAGGCGGCGCATACTAGAAAAGAGTAGTGGGAGCAGGCACCGACGCGGAAAGATCCCGGATGTACGCGGCAGCGCTGCGGTCGTTTACGGACTGGAAAATCCGACAGGCTCCGAGCGTTCCGAAGGCCTTCAGCGAGTAGCTTCGTCTTGCGTTTTGGCCATTTCGCGGTACGGCAGCGCGAAGTGGCTCCCATTCTGAACTGATCTTTACCCCGTGTTTGCTGTCGTTTGTTGCCAATGAAGTGTCATGTCGAATTAGTGTTTAATCACGCAGCAAATGCAATGAGAGCCGCCCTGGCTGCCCGCTGTATACAGCCTATCCAAAACACGCTTTAGTGGCGCCCTCTCGCGCCGACGACACGCAGTGCGGCAGCCGTGAGCGCTGGCTAAGCTCACTACCCCTCCTCTAGTTCACGGCCACTCAAGCAACCAAGGACGTCATGAGGGAGGTTATTTTTTGCTTGTTTTTGTAATTCTAATTTGCCTATAACTTTTAAAATAAAGCGAAATTCGAGAAAAGAAAAGTTGCATTAAGTTACTACGGTCAGTGCGCTCAGGTTTGGTGCAAATTAAAATTCAGTAAAAAAGTGCTTGCAAAGCCCCTTCAAGTAACCCGGCATGAATCACTGAAAAGAGAAATGAAACCTAAACACATGGCTAACACGTTGGAAGCCTTACACGCTACGAAATGCTTGTTATTTTACGAAATAGTCCGTACGCGCACAAAATAAACCGTACTTCCTAAGCATCAGATACTAAATCGTACATATGTATATGCACTGCATATCTGTTTGACATAAGAAAATATGGCAATTACATGTCAAGTTCGGTATTTCAAACTCAAAGCCGAAAGCAAAAGACCCCAAGGAATTCTCTGACGATCTGCATTCCCCAGTATTGGGAGAAAGTACCTAAGCGCTGGGGGGGGGGGGGGGGGGGGGGGGTGCCCGCTTTTGTGGATACGGACTTCGAAGTAAATTTTTAAAGTACACTACTCCAAATTTTATTAATGGTTATGGTTGGATATTGAGGTAACTTCTAACGATAAATAGAAAACCTTACATAGGCCAAAATTCTGCTCAGCAGAGCGCCTGTGCGAAGTCCCGTTCAAAACGCGCGTAGCACGAGACTCGAGTCTTAATAGCACTATACAAACAATATATTACAATTTCTGTTAGCAGTTTCTAATAGACTGCTATATTAACTAACTGTGAATAAAAAATAAAAGAAATAAAAAGTGGGGTTTTTCAGAAAATCGACTCCAACCTTGCCAGTTTTGCGAAATTTCTGTTTTTCAGGAACCCATGTAGCGCTATATACTTATCAAAAAATATGAAATTTATATTCAAAAGAAAGAAATGAATTGGTGCTTTACGGTGATATAAAGATCATAAAATATGTTGATTAGGTCACACAGCACAGCTTGCTGAACTTCGTCAAATATCGTCGCAGAGAGGCAGTTTGACATATAAAGAAAAAAAATCATTAAGAATTTTATGACCGAGACGCTTAATTAGCATGAAAAAGCCTATGTCTAGAGTGTTCCAAAAAGGTTATATTGATGTAGCGTAAAAAGTAGGAAAAAGGGATGGAGTGAAATATGGCACTTCCGATAAGCTGGAAAAACGTCAGTTTCCACCTTGGCCGCTTCAACGGTCCATAACTTGAGAACAAAATATCCGACGAAATCGCCGTTTGCGTCTTCTTTTAATATAGGAATTGCCCCAAAACGTATACTTTGTTCGTCAAAATTAAAAATTCGACCCTAAATCTGTGCCTGAGCTGAGATGAAATCACCCATATATATTATATCTTTTTTGCAGAACCCCGCAAGTGAGGTACTTGCCGCCGTGGAAAAATTCCAAGGGGTCAACGAAGGATTCGTGAAGGATGTTAAAGAAGTGGACTTCAAGGTTCGAACCTGGGTGCGGGGCCTAAGCAGCGAGTACCCCGCCTACAAGACGATCGCGCAGATGTCGTTCCACACGCCCCAAATCAACGCGTCCATGTGGGGCGAGAGGTTTGCCCACTACCTCCCGCTGACCCTGAAGCCCAACGAAACCGTGTATGTGCGGAAGGTGGAAGGACTCATCCTCACGAACAACCTCGTGAACGAATACAGGAACAACCCGAAGGTTGGCCTCCACTGGGTCACGGCGGTCGTGGAGTACTACCTCTTCGCTGCCGCCATGAAGGACACCAAAGAGCACGATGTCAAGTGCCGCGGCTACATCCAGTATATGGCGCCGTTCGCCCTCAACGCCATCTACTTCCAGAGGCACCTCGATACAACGCAGGTGGAGCTGGGAAAGCACATGTACCGACAGTTCCGCTGCTCGATTCGTCAGTTCTTCAAGTGGATGATGCCCGAACCGACGGCGTACGCTCAAGACCGATTTCAGCTCACCCGTCTAGTCTTGGGCGTTCCGGACAACCTCAACTCCATTCTAGGCCTGGAGACACAGTTTCACTACGTGCCTCAGTTCAAGGAACCCTTCTTGACGTCGTTTCTAAGTGCCCTTAAGATGAGGGCGGAGGAAGACCTCTTCAATTTCCAGATGACGCGGTACCAGGGGTCCATGGCCCTGGATCGCTGGCGGCTCCTGTACAACCTGGAGGCTGTCGAAACCGAGGAGATGTCGTCTTTCTCGACGTTCAGCCCGGCCTTCGTGCCTTACAGCATGGTGGTCTTCCTTCCCGCCATGCTGATGCTGCCTCCTTTCATGGACACGGAATCCGTGGCGTTCTCGTACGCGGGTACGGGCCGCCTGATGGCGCAGACCGCAATGCACGCCTTCGATAAGGACCAAATCGAGAAGAGCCACGAGGGCGACAGAGAGCCATGGGGCTACGGGCAGGGCAGAGGGTTCTACGAGAGGCTGCTGTGCCTAGAACGGGCGTTCGAGAAGCGCATTCCAAACGTCGCCTACGGCAGGAAAACGCTGTCGGAGAACGTGCCAGACATCGCAGCCCTCGAGCTGGTGCTGGCGGCGTTGCGGAGCGACTCCTGCTACGTCCCGGACCGCCAGTCACACGTGGAAAAACTCACAGAGAAGCAATTTTTCTTCGTCGCCTACTGCCACGGATTCTGCGCGTCCAAGCAACACATCCAAGACTACAAAGCTGGCGAGGGCAAAGGACCCGCTCGTAGCGACCATCGCTGCAATGTTACGGTCAGTTCCATGACGGAGTTTGAGCAGGCCTTCAAGTGCAGCTTCAAATCACCGCGGTGTTCCTTTTTGTCTTAGTAGAATTGCAAAAGACTTAAATTGGCGCCTTGGCTTCTACAGAAAAAAAATTACTAAAAGTGTTTTTAAGCGGTTTTTTATTCGAAGGTTTCTTGGGTCTTCGAATTATATTTCTCAAACGCGCGTGTATATGACGTGCTTAGTTCTAGAACGAATATATCACTTTTCGGAAAGTATCTTACGTAGCACAACGCATTGAGTAACAAGCCCCTTAATTTATACCAAGAAATAAATATAAAAAAAACGAGTTCGTTTTGCATCGGTTTCTGCGTTTTATGTAGTATATATTTTCCTTAAATAATTCTGCTTGTCGTCTTAATAAATAACGCGAGTAAGTTTTGCATAACATTCAACGTTATTTTGAGGTCATGCCTTTCAAACTGACTTAGTCACTTTTCGTCAAAACCGACGAATAGCGGGGAATTCTTCATCGCTGAATAATCATTCAATAGGTGTTTCAACGTACGGGATGCGATGTAGCGAACTGATACGAGGTTTCCAGAGACGGACAACGCCGAATTCTTTCAGACTTTTAAATCCATAGAGTCATTACAATAAACGCTAGAGGCTCAGGTGGCGCTAGTGTGCTGTTGTATTTTGAGCAGACAGCAAACAGTCATAAATTGACTGCCGGTAATGCATTTCTATGGGAAAAAGCGAATGCATTTTTTTTCTGCGCTCGATTATAAGAGCAAATATCACGAATAATTTGTACGTACTAGGCACATTGGAACATTTCTCAGTCACGCAGACGAAATAATTGGTCCCTTACAGCATTTTTATTTGAAATTTGTGGCATGAAAAACGGTGAAACCGCTTCGTACGTGTATTTATGTGCACTGTCGGACACTGTTAGCGCGAACACGGCGTCGATGCTTTCCAGCATGGGGGATGTACGTGCCAAACGAACGAAGGACATGTGGAAAACCAAGAGAGACGGCAAAAACTACGCAGTAACACTGGATAAGTAACTCCTTCCGGGATGGCCATGGTGTACGTTCGCCAGGACTGGCATCGGCACCAAATAGACACTACAAAGTTTTGCACTGAGAATCAGGAGGTGGTTGCCATCAGGGTATCGTACCAGCTCCAAAACCTGGTAGTCGTCTCGGCGTACTACAGACCAAGGCGAGGAGGTACTCCACGAGACTACGGCTGAGTGGCCTATCTGCACAACTTGTACCCACGGGACCACAAGTTGTACGAAGAATATTTCAACGCGCAGCACACCCTTTCGGGTTACGCAAGCAGCGGAGGCGGAGCGGAAAAGCTCATCGAAGAGATGAGCAACTACCAGATGCATCTAACTAACAAAAAAGGAATCAAGACGAGGATCGGTGGCTTCGGCCAGAAGGACACTACCCCGGACCTTACTTGGGTAGCAAATCCTTACATACAACATCACAAATGGAAGTGCCTTCCAGACAACTGGGGGAGCGATCATTTTCCAATCACTTTTCAATTTTCGTTGACTCGGAAGGCACGCGATGGGCCAGCGCAGAAACGACAAGTTAAGACAATATACTGGGATAAGTTCAGGCAAACATTGAAGGACGAGACTATGGTGGCCACCCCCCTAGATCTAAGACTTCGCGCCCTAGTGAAAAAAAAAAAACTATCTGAATTTATTTCTGATATATTTATTAAACAACTTTTCATATCAGAACTTATTATTTCATATCAGTTTCATATGGCGCATATCAGTTACACTGGGCTAGGTGGCGCTAGGTACCGCCCAATTCATGTACTACAAAAATAATTTTATTTATTCACGCCACCATGTAGATGCATACCGCATACCACTAGCATCAGCTGATACACATACACGGCACAACAAACATGAATACAACAGCACACCTAATAACTACTACTGAGCTCTGCGTTTCAGCCTTTTATACAGGTCGTTTTCTAAGTACGGAGTTTTTCGGTGACCACCTAAGCAATAAATAATATTCTCAGCGTGTTGAATTTTTTTTCAGTAATGTCATACCCCTGCGGTTCCAAGCCACGTGTTTGTTTGCCCGCGCGACACGTCGTATGCCAAAAAAAAAATATATGAATTTATTTCTGATATGTTTATTGGACACATTCATATCAGTTGGCACATGCTGTATATCAGTTCTTACATGTCACATATCAGTTTTGGTGTATTTCATATCAGTTTCATATGCCGTATATCAGTGTTTGGATATTTCATATCAGTTTCATATGTCGCATATCAGTTTTTGGATATTTCATATCAGTTCTTATATGAATTCAGATAATTTTTTTTTCAGTAAGGCGGTGCGCCAATTGAAAAGGCCGCAATCAAGACCAAAGTGGATGAAGATGCGCCTACACCCGATTTGGGCCTACTGCAGCTCTGGGGGGCTATGTTGCGCTTTTTGCACTCCCAGGAGACTAGGGAGAAGGAAGTGACGTCAACAACGCAGCAAATGCAGATTGGATGTTGATTTTGTTTTCTTCTGTCAACATCCAATCTGCGTTTGCTCTAGTCGTTGACGTCATTTCCTTCTTCCAAGTCTCCTGGGAGTCCAAAAAGCGCAACATAGCACCCCTGGGCTCACCGCCTGCGAGCGGTGCAGACTTACAGAAAGGGACCACGCACTCCAATCAAAAGACGCAACATTACGCGAGCGACGCTTGAGGCTGAAGTCTACGGCCAGAAGCTTGGGCTTCAGCGGTGGCTAGATTACAGCTCGACGCTTTCCGAGAAGACGTCGGTGGCTCGATTCTGGGCCACCAGCCGCTCCATGCTTGGAAAAAAGAGGACAAAGGCTGCTACCGGCACCCTTGCACTCAAGATGGGAAAGGCGGAAGAGGAGCTGACGGTCATGGCGGGTGACTTGTTCTTTCCGCAACCGGCCAACCGGCGGCCGACTCCTCTACTATGACTCCTATGCGCAAGAAGTGCTTGCACCAGACTCAAATCTGGACAGACCATTCACAAGGGGAGAACTGGAGAGCGCCCTGCACTCTGGGAAAGTCAACACCGCACCAGGGCCCGACCAAGTCACCAGGAACATGCTACGGAATTTACCGGACCACATCGGACAAGAGCTTCTGCGCCAGATCAATCAGATCTGGGAGACGGGACAACTACCGCAAGATTGGAAACACTCTGCAGTGATTTCCATTCCTAAACCAGGGAAAGACAAAGGTGACCTTGCAAACGATAGACCCATCTCCCCCACGTCGTGCACGTGTAAGGTCATGGAGAGAATGGTTCTGTGGCGTATCGAATGGCTCCTTGAGACGACCGGGGCTTTCCCTTCGTGCAGACTGGGTTCCGGCCCGGCCTAAGCACGCAGGAGAGCCTAACGCTCATATCTGCGGGAGTCATCACAACAACCACACGCCAAGCCGTGCGTACCATTGTTACAGTGGACATCAAGAAAGCGTTTGATTCGGTTCCCCACGCCGCACTCATACACGAGGCACAACTCGGCCTCGGTGGGAGACCGCTCAACTTTATACGGGCTTTCTTCGCGGGAAGAACGTACTCGATTCAATGTGGCTCTAGTCACAGCGAACCAAGGGCGAACCGGGTAGGGGTACCTGAAGGATCTGTATTATCGCCTATGCTATTTAACATATAGTCATGGCAGCACTCTCACACGAACTTGACAAGGTGCCACAACTTAGGTTTACGATATACGCAGATATATCAATCTGGACGAGAGAATCGAGCCTATCCCAACAACAAGACACGCTGCAAGCCGGCCTTGACACGATAGAGAATCATCTTCGTCGCGTCGGGCTACAAGCGTCACCAGAGAAGACCAGTTTCGTTGTTCTTGCCCCGAAACGGCCACGCGAAGCCAAGATTTCCGACGCCTTCAAGCTGGTACTGGCAGGGAAGAGGATCGTCGCAGCGCCATCAGTCAAGATCCTAGGGCTTCTAATAGATGAGACCGGTGGAGCAGACCTCTGGCTTCGACAAACTATTAAGCAATGCAACTCGGCCCTGAACGTTATTCGCCGCATCTGCTCGGCACAAGGAGAAGCAACAGAAGTGGCCAGGCGGATGGTCAAGGCGCTCGTGGTGTCGCGCGTCTGCTACGGCGCGACTTACTGGAGGCTCATTAAAGCACAATGTAAAAGACTGGAGACGCTAAACCACCAAGTGATGCGCGTAATCACCGCTCTACCGGCATACACGGCACTTCCAGGACTCAAGGAGAAGGCTCAACTCAACTCACTCTATACGACACGGTGCATGCGCGAGGTCGGGCCCACTGGGACCGACTGAAACAATCTAGACAAGGCAGAGAGATTCTCTGCCGACTCGGCAGTAGACAAGAGGCTTGGCCAGCACTTCCGGAACAGCTTCCCCCCTGGGAGGATTTGCTGGACATCGTGGAACACAAACCCCATGGGGAAGCTAAGGAAGGGCGACACACAGAAGCAAGAGAGACTTGTAAAAGCCCACAACAAAATGGTCGGATCCTGAACAAATCCAAGTACCATACTCGCTGCGTACACAGATTTTGCTCTCGGCAACGGCAGCCCCGGGGCGGCAGTAGCCTGCTTTCCGGAGATCCAGGTCGCTGCGAGCACGCAACTTCCAACTAGCATGACAGTTCGAGGAGGGGAACTAGCGGCCATTCAAGTGGCCCTAGAATCTGTCCTGGAGAATTCCACCACTAGACCAAAAGAACAACACATCTTTTCCGACTCTAAGGAAGCAGGCACAGAATGTAAAAAAGCCAACAGCCAGTGCCGAAGGGTGAGGAAAATAAAGAAAATTGCCGCTCATCTCCTGTTGGAGGGGACGAAAACTATAATCAGCTGGGTTCCGGGTCACGCCGGAATCCAAGGTAACGAAAAGGCACATCAGCTTGCTCGCGTCGCCGTTATCTCCTTCCGCGAGCAATCCGCTGTGCCCTCACACCAGCTGGACCACGGCTACTCCATCGCTGGTAATCGAGCACAGGAGTCTGCGGACGAAAACATCTACGACCCCGGTGAAGAAAAGCTTCGCATCAAAGAGCAATACA